TATAGAAAAGTTTGAAAGATTTATTTTGAGTGTGCAAGTTTTTGAATTAAAATCCTTCTTGTAACATTGAATAAGTTAAATGCAATTTGAATGAATCTAATTTGATTATAAATAGAAGATTATATAAAATAATTTAAATGATCATGCTAGAATGGTTTATTATATTTACCCAAAATATTACTATTTTTCTAATTTACAAGAGCTAATATTTAAATCATAAAATGTTCTAATCTTGAAAGGAGAATTCCTTAGTCAATCACTACAGACTCAAACTAAGGACACTATATCAATAAATGGAAGGTACACTTTAGAAATCTAAAATGGGCCTTTAATTTGATTTTTCATATGGTATTGAAATGAAAATTTCCATTGCATTCACTACTTTTGATAATCAACATAAGGTCCTTTCTTTCTTCAAAAAGCTATATTTGATTGATATAAGCTATAAGGAGATATAAGAAAGAAACAATACCAATAATTATAAATTTCAATAAAGGTTATGCTTTTTTTCGTTAGGATCCGATTTGAGCATTTTATTATCATCTTAGTTAAATATTCAACAATATTTTTTTGTATAAAATAATAAATCATTCAAAATTCTTCACCTTTAGTTATAGAGCAAAGGAACATCACAGCCATGAATGTTGAGGACAGTAAAGCAAATTACTGCTTTGCTAATGTTTTAGAGATTAAAAGATTAATTGATGCGCGTTTTTTTTGTCAAATTTCCTTTACATCTGATATTTTAATGCTCACCTTCTAAATGATGGTAATCAGATCTAAATTTCATGCATAGTTCTTTATATTCTTATATAAAATAAGCTAGTGATTCTTAAACTAATAAATCAATTTGTTCTAATTAAAAATCCTCTCTCAGATATCAACCTAGAAGAAATTGAAGACTTATGAAATATTTAGATATGACCAGTATTTAAAATTTGACATTATTCAATTTAAAATCTAATTTAACAATTGTATTGATAGATCACTTTTATAAACCACTTTAACACATTCAACAATTTTAAATAATGAGATTACGAAATCAATAATTTATGGGTAATTTCTCAATTTAATTTATGGAAAAATGAGAAATTGCTTAAATGCTGTTGATTACAATTTACGAGAAAACCTTTGAAGATTGATTTAGCTTGCAAAAAAAATACTTATATACAACTTCTCCTTCAAAATTAAAAAACCCAATCTAGTCTCTATTAATTTTTTCTTAAAAAATGAAGAAAACTTGAATTGAATATAATTCTGATCAAATGTATTCTCAAAAAAAATGATCATCATCTCAGATTTCTACTGGCTATCTGTTAACTATTAAGGACCTTTTACGTAATATCATACATTTTCCTTCTAAACACTCTTAAGAATTTATCTGCAAACCTGTCCTATGTAATATTAATAATACTGAAAATGAAATATTTTGTAATAATTGGTGAAAAGAGAATCTTGTTGAGTATATGAGTTCTTTTTGTAACATTGAAATTCTAAAAAATTACATTAATAAATTCAGATACAAGTATTAATGCAATTAGAAGCATTTTCTAGTACTTTTACTGTTTGTATAATAACTTATTTGTTATGTTTTCAATTTGTTAGCAGGAATATTTTAAAAATTAGACTTGCCTTTCTATTCTTCTATCTAAACGTTTTAGCTTTCAAATTAAAAAAATATTTTGAGACATCTTTGCAAAACCAATCGGTGGAAGAGAAACATCGTATTAAAAAAATGCTTCTCAAGCTTAAGTAGCCTTTCTCTTAATTTTCTAGGTTTGGGTTTGGGTTTGGGTTTGG